TCTCTGTAGCAGCTCCAGCCCTTTGGAATGAACTCCCCATGGAGATTCGGACTCTCATCTCTCTCCAGGCCTTCCGGAAAGCCGTCAAAACCTGGCTGTGCCGGCAGGCCTGGGGTTGATGAGTCCCCCTCCCCTCTCGACTGGTATGGCTGTGTGATTTTCGTGTATTTTAATTATGTGTATTGTGTTTAGGTCCCCTTCCCCCCTGAGTTGTTCGCCGCCCTGAGTCCCTCCTGGAGAAGGGCGGCATACAAATAAACCAAATACAATACAATACTTAAGTTGTGAAGATCTAGCAAGCAGTCTCCTCTCCAGTCTCTCATCCGCCTGCACTCTTACAGTCTGTTTGAGCCTCCACAGGCCTCGCCTGGCATGTTGCTGGCTGAAATGGAGCTTCTGAGGAGTCGATTTGCCCCTCAGAAGCTCCATTCAGGCTTCCAGAGGCCTCGCCCGGCATGTTGCTGGCTGAGGCCTCTGGGGGCCCAAATGGATCCGCTCCTCAGAAGCTCTATTTTGGCCAGCAGCATGCAAGACAAATGTTGCAGAGCCTCTGCGGTTGTTCAGGTGCTCCAAGGTTTGTAGTTGTGGGACTTCTTTGTAAACTTTAGGGGGTGCTTATTACATCACTTCGAACGTTTGCCAAGGGAACGCTTGTAACCCGGAGATTACCCGTATAACAATTAATAGATTGTATTGTAAACTGCCCAAAGTTGCCTCGCAGCAAGATGGGTGGCAAATCAAATAAATAAATAAACAAATGCCCTGTTTTCCCCAAAATAAGACCTCCCCAGATAATAAGCCCAATCAGGTTTTTGAGTGCATGCACTAATATAAGCCCTCCCCCCAAAATAAGCCCTCCCCAAAATTATTGCAACACAGCAGCAGCCATGAGGTGACCACGCTTGCTGCCTCCTGCACCTCAAAAATAATAAGACCTCCCTGAAAATAAGGCCAAGCGCTTATTTCGGGGGTCTTATTTTCAGGGAAACACGGTAACAAATAACAGTTGACGGTAGACAAAACCATTGATAAATTCTCCATAGCACTCTTATAGGGAAGTGGCCATCACTGCAACTGCAGAACAGTTCTCAGAAATAGGCTGAAGAAAGTGTACCGTTGAAGGTTCAGATTCTTTCAGTCGGTTGCGCAGAAAAACATATAAGTGTTGCCCAATCCTGTTGTGTTCCTGATACTTGTTGAACATCTTCAGCAGTAAAGCTGCCCTAAGCGATTTAGAGGGGACACAGGCTGAATAAGGCTGCTCCCAAGAAAATGTGATATACTTTGCTAATTAGCTATGTAAACATTGCCTTTCAGTTGCACAATTATGCTTCTCATCATGATATTTTTTTTCTAAAAGTGCTGAAAAATGAAATGATATGGGACAGTTTTTTGTTAAGGTCTGCGTGACTGGCCATCATATGAATCTGATTTTTATTTAAAAAAAAAACACAGCTTAAACTGTTAGCCCAAGGATAATTAAACCTTTCAAAAATATTTTGGGGTAGTGAAATGAAGCATGCATGAGCATCAGGATATAAACCAAAGATGTACTTTTTTGATTAATTGTTAAGTGTTTACTTTTTTATATAAAATGAGAAAAGAAATAAAAAGAAAAATATAGAAAAATGTATTGTCCCTCTGTAATAATAGTCTTACATCCATTTTAATGTCTCATTTTACAAACAAAGTCACTTTAACACGGAAGTTCCTTTATGCATCAATAGGAAATTAAATTTATAATCTAGTGTATGCAGTCCAGATTTCTAAAAAAATCTGCACTGATATACTTATGTGAATGATAATTGGAATACATGTTATTCATAGCATTAACCAAGGACAATAGAAATCCTTCTACAGTGTAGTATCGGTATTCTACATCATAAAAGCATGTAGGTTCCAACTTCTTCCCAATTGTACATTCTTCAAAAGAGCATGAGTAACATTTCTGAGTCTACTCTCTAATTAGTGTTTTTTGCAGAGTTTGTCCGTGCATACAATTGATGCTTAGGATTTTTTTTTTAAAAAAATGGGAATATCTTTTGCTCAAGCGCTCTCTTTCACTAGAGTTTGTTGTAAATGTGTAGACAGAGATTATTCAGGCAGTGGGGTGTGGAATCACGGCCCTTGTATGATTTTGTGGACTTCAACTCCCAGAATTCCATGCTGGCTCAGGAATTCTGGGAGTTAAAGTCCACAAGTCATAAAGGGGGCCATGGTTCCGCATCTCTGCTTTAGACCAAGAATTTTACAAAATTCACAGAACTGTCTAGCTTTAATTTGTTTGACTGACTATGCACAGTAAGGTTTGTTTCTTGGAATGACAGATTTTTGACATTCTCTTTCTGCAGACTTGACCAATCTTGTGAATCTGGAGGGATTAGTTCAATAATGCAGCAAGACTTTTGAAATGTATGTTGTAAGGAAGCGAACTAAAATAGGACTTCATTTACATTTAGCAGTTTCTCACTGTGAGGATAAACTGTCAGTCACGTGGTATACAGAGACTTTTATCTCTACATAAAAAATAATATTCTGGAAAACATTGCAAACCACAGTGATGTTAAAATAATCACATCTAGGAAACAAACAAAATATCAAAAAGTTATGATATTTGTGTACTTACTTAACAAGAACATGTAACACTCACATTTGTGAACCGGTAGGGAAAGTAAGTAAATGATGATGATGATGCTACCCACCTTTAACATGAATTTTCTCTTACGTTTCTTAATCATCAACCATCATTGTTATTTGTAAAGAAGATACACTCCCAAATTTGGTATTTGGATGTTGGAACAAAAGAATATTTCATTTGTACCGAATTTCGGAATTTTTGCTACTTTTCGGACTTTCTTCCAGTGATTATTCAGCAGTCAGTGAATATTAGCCCCATTTCCCAGGTGAAGCATAGAATCTTATTAATGGTCATAAACATTTTTTTACAACTTTTGTGGCCTGCCAGCAGCCAGCAGAGCTGGCAGCAGATTCAGACAGTGAGGAGGTTGGGGAGGAACATGAGCCAGTTCTGGTGTCTGGGGAAGGCTCTGATGAGGGCTCTTGTTTCGGAGGCAGAGATGGGGCCAAGGCCATCTGACAGTTATCAATTGCCTTCAAAGTGACGCATCGATGAGACAGACGACAGCTGAAACCTGTTCCTGATGTGCCCTTGCACAGAGTTGCTGGATGAAGGGAACAGCTAAGGAACAAAGGTCGACTTGGGAGTAAGGCCACAGGTGGATGGTGAATGGCCCCTCCCATGGGGAATAAAAGAGGAGAGAAAGGGGAGGGGTGTTTGCAGGAGACAATTAGTTCATTCCTGCATTCTTGCCAAGTATTGCAGTGTATGAAAGATATCGGCCTGGCCATCTTCA